AATAACATTGTAAGGTGATTTGAGAATTAGGTATTTGAAACTACACCCAAGCCTAAACTGCATGAAGACAGGTAATTGCAGATTAACATTCCACTGTAATACTTATGCACAAGAGTGCCAAGCTAAAGTTGCCATGGGAAACAAGCCTGAATTTCTTCACTTTTCAGCAATTCACAATCTTCCTTAATAAAGGCTTTGGCAGGTGACTTCTAATGCATTGAACTTAACAGCCACACAAAAACTGTGCAAGAAGAAAGCTGCTACATGGGGATGCCTAGATAGAACAGGTAGGCACAGGAACATCTCCATTACTCACCTCTGGGTAAGACTCTGAGAATCTGTTACTTTGCAAGCCACCCTCTTCATTCCCATCCTAGCCTTCTGCTAGGATTGCCTTGATACAGGCTCCACAAAGCACCAGTTGAAGAGCACACAGAAGAAACCTCACAGCCTGCTTCCCAGCAGACCAGCAGTCCCTCCATAATCTACCCCTGCAGCAAGTTTGTGATTTCTATTCCTTCTAGAAAGTCCTCTGAGCTCAGGCTACAGCTCCCACAGCAGCTTGCCCATTCCCTATCCACTCACCCTGAGCAGGGAGCTCAGCAGGGACTGCACATGTTGCTATGGCCTAAATTTGGTGGGAATCAACATTCATTTCCATCACAAGGTCAGTCTATAAATCACAGTGGCTCAAGATCAGACACACATCATTCAGTTGTCCCTGCCATGGGAATGAGACTACAGGTACAGCAGTACAGAGAGCAAGGAGGCAGCAATCACTGCAGCCACTCCAGCTGCACCTGCCCACAACCACCAGCCAGAACCACAAGACAGACATTCAGGGGAAAACATCTTCAGTGCTCTTTTACACCAGCCCTCAAGGAAACATAGCCTGAACCAAATTTCACCTTGTTGTGCATTTGTATTTCCTATTATCTCACAGCAAGACTGGCTCCCAATGGCTAATATGCTTTTGCCAATCAGGAAAGATACTATGATAATCCAGATTTGTTTGTATACTTAAAAATACATTAATAACTGAACATATGCTTATTTGTAGCCTTGTTGCTTATGGTTTTATGCTGAAATGTTGGGTGATGTTCTGCATTTAAGTTACCAGGTATGTCCAGTTCCATTTTACAGGAATTGTAATTTAAAATTTCCCAAAAATAACAACCAAAATGCATGTTAAACCAACTTGAAATATGTAGACTACACTAAAGAAAAAGAGCACAATATTTCTCTATTTAAAATGTGCTGTTTAAGAGAACAAGGAAAATATAATCTGTTAACTATTTATCTTCCAAGTCTGGTCACAACTTCCTTCAGCAATTAGAAGACAAACATTTTATATCTTCCTCCTTCAGAGAGTTTGGAAGAGACAAATTTCTAATTCCAAACTGATGATCAAATTTGAGTGAATCTGAGACACTGAGGTGAAGTACCTGTAAAAGAAAACTACATAAAAAAGCAACCTCATCATTACCAAAAGCTCACTTAGCAGCTCAGCAACTCCTGTATCTAGTTCCTTCTGCCAGTTCAGGGGTCTGACATTCTTTAACACTTTGAGGTAGCAGACATGTAAAACTTGAGTATTATTTGTTTTTCATTTAAATGGTGTTAATAGATTACAGCAGAAATTAACATCCTCTGCAGAAGCCCAATTTAAAATTCAGCTTTGAACAGATCTGGTTTCTACCTTCAGGCTTCATATATGTAAAAAAATCACCACTTTCCATCCACTTTACTGAAGTTGCAGGCAAGATACTTGGCTTGTTGACTGAGAGAGGCACACTCACAGCATTAATACAATAAGGATACAGGCAGCCATGGATCTGAGCCTGGGGAGCTCCTCAGCAATCACTGAAAGCACTGACCACCATAAACACTGGTGTATACAAGGACAAAGGGACAAAGAGCAAGACTCACACTTATTAATGCATCTTCTCTTGTGTAGCTAAAGCACTGTATGTACCCGCTCCACAGGCTGACCGTATAAAAGCAGCAGGCACTTAAAAACTCTTAGCAGACAGTAAATGGAAAAAAAAGTCACAGAGTTAAAGCTAAAAAATGAAGCACACTCCTCACTGTCATTGTCTGAGGTCCACTGACCTCCACAGAAAAGATGGCTCCCACCTGACCCCATCGGGCTTTGGATCAAATCCCAAATGCACAAGGTAAGCTTTAAAGAGATGCGAAGGGCCAGCCATAAACATTCCTTACTGCCAACCCCTACTGACCTTTGGCTGGCTAAAGCACTACACAACAGTCTGTGCCTTTAGTCTTTCAGGTTTTCCCATCTATCCTTCTGGGCCAAAGCAGTTAAACCCCACACCTTCTTCCCTCTCTGGAATGGTCTCATTACTCAAAAACATCAAAAAAACCATAAGCTAAGCTACTGCTTTGTGCATATAAACATGTACTTTGATTTAGAGGCGTAGTTGTTGAAAGCTATCAGAAGTCAGGACTGCAAGGATGCTACCATTCCTCTGTGGATGTAGGGCAGGGAATATGAAAGACCCTCCATGCCTGACCCGGAAGTGCTAAAGCAAAGGGCAGCAGTGACAATGCACTCAGCCAGCAGTTCCAGGCACAGGAGCCACCATGCAGACACTTCCCATGAGAATACCACTGTCCTCGACCCTCCTTGATCCCCATTATGGAGGCTACACCACAAGCCCTCAGCAGGAAAATGGGCAATGTGAAAGGGAATGGAAATGAAGGAGTCTTCAGGGCTCCAGAATGAGCATGAATCCCCAGGGATCATGCCAGTGAAGTTGCTGGTTGCAGAAGAGCACAAGTAAATAGAGTAGGAGAGGGAGCAGATGTGACAGGCACACACCTTAGTGCAGATAAAAAGACAGGTCTTTCAGCAGTTTCTGGTAAGAATTCAGAATATTTTGAAGAGCAGTTAGTGAGATGTGAAGTGTGCTGCTCAGTAGCAAGTACACTCTGCAAGACTTTTAGGCTGAGCTGGCTAAATTTACAGCTATGCCACATGAAGTAACCTGGACCACATTTTAGCTCTATTGTAACCGTCTCATCAAATCCCAATGTCTTTGAATTTCATTGTATCTAGACTTCTATTTGTGCAGGTATTAAAACAAAAGCAGAAAAAGGATCATGACTGCAGTGAAGATCAGCACCTGACCATTCCTAGCTCCCAGGTCTGTCCTCAGACCAAACCTCCAAACCTGTCCACCACTGCCCCAGTGAAAAGACCCTGCCACTAAAACCTTGCACAAAATATTGCTGAAATACACAGCACAGTTTGTTCATCGTGACATACAGCCCAGCAGCAAAGAGGGCAAAAGCCATGCTGGTCAACAAAAAGTTAAAATGTAAGTAGAGGCATCAACTAAAGTCTCATTTTATAAAGCTGCTCAATTCCAGCAGGCACCTTCCAGCTACATGAATTCCCACATTGCAGAAGCCATTTTTTTATTTGTCAAACTAATTTGTTGGTGAGGACATGAGGGACTGACAGCCTTTTCCACAAACAATATGATGCAGACAGCTACTGAACACAGCAGTCTGAAAAAACAACACTGAAGAACATCTCCACCTTTAAGGTGCTATCTCACAACAAAATATATAGCAGAGCTGCATTGGCCCAGACCATTACCTTCCCTGGCAAGGACTTGGGGACAAAGCTCCTTAAAACAGTAGTAATCATATTCCACTCATGCTCCTTTTTACTGCCAGCTGTAAACTAGCTCCACATGCATCATGGTTTTGCATCAAAATGTGCACAGGCCTAACCCATATCCAAAGGGACAAGGTAGATCCGATTTACAGCTTTGACAGGTCTGTGCACCTGAGGCAGAGCGTGCAGGTAATAGCCTGACATCTCACTTGGAGAGCAGTTAAGTCCCTGTTAGCACAAGTGGATGCAGAGCCACCACAGCCTCCCACAAACACCCACCAAAAGAAGAGGGAATTTGCTGTCCACTTTTCAGTAAATATGAGAGGCAGGTGCCACACACCAAGGCACTACTGAAGAGGAGTCAGATTTGATGCCAACCTGTGGCATCCCTTTGACAGCCCAAGGGAAATGCCAGCTGCACTGGGAAATGAACACACTGCATCGAGTCACTTCAGCAATGAGATACCACACTGCAAAACAATTTGGCCTCTAGTGTATTCCAAACACAGCAAACAGAAGTTATTCTGATACAGTGTATACCACTGGCAATACCAGTAAGAGGACAGCTGTTCAGCAGAGGAGGACGAGAAGCCCAAGTTCAATTTAGAGACTCAGAAATTTTGTTTGTTACCCATCAACATTACTCTTTCTTTTTAGCATGTTTTTCTAATTTTAATGGAAACCCTAGATTCATTCTGCTGACAACTGAAGATGTATTTAACAATATGCTTTGCTCCAGTATGAAACTAACTGCAGAAAAACTTCTGTACTTCATCTGCATCTCTGTACATTTCAAGCAGCAGAGCACTCAAAAATCTCTCTGAACCTGAACTCTTCCTGTCTTACTACACTCCAGAACTAATACCCAGTCATGAAAACTTCAGCAAGATCAGGCAGCTCAAAACTATTGCTCATCTCTATTAGAAACACCATTATGTGGCACATCCTCCTATCATCCAAACTATTCTTTTCCAAAAGCTGTTGACTACCAACAGCCATTTTCCTTGCAGAATCAAACAAGGATTACTCTGCTAATGCAGGTTCACAACCAAAATTTTTAGACCCCCCCCAGTTCAGGCAGATGAAAAGCATACACAACTTAAAGATGTTTTTGATGACACATGAATCGTCACGTCCTTGATGGAAATCGGTCTCCATTTCATTCCCACTAAACAGTCCTGGCATTGCTCCTGAAAGAGTAGGTGACTGGTAAGACCCATGGAAGACCAGCAACAGAAAGGAGGTGGGACAAACCAGAGAAAATGAATGTACTGGCACTGTATTTTTTTCCTTCCACCTCTCAGAACAGCAGCAGCAACTTGCAAGGGGATAATTAACAGGATTGACTATTTACCTGAGGATGAATCTGTGGTTTATCACATGTAGCCTCAAAATCCAGCACTAAGAAGTAGTGATATCTCTGTGGAGGGAAGGATGACATTGCTGCCATGGAAGCTCCAAAGCCGTGGGACGCCAGTTTCCTGCTTACGATGGAGTCGTACCCTTTGAGAACACCAGCCGGGAGGAGGGAGCACACAGCTTGTCTTGCCCTTGGAAGTAAGTTTTGGGAAAACTTTGCTGCTCCAGTATGGAGAAGTGCTATCATTGAACATCCAGAGGCATCTGAAACTGAAGACAGATTCATGTTACTCATGCACACAAAGGTCTCATCTCTGCTAGTACCTCCTCACTGTCTTCCTCTGACAGGGATTTTCTCTGCGATTCCCAGTGGAAGTTACAGCATCACAAACGTGAAATAACACAGTAACCTGCCCAAAATATAATAGGCAACATTTGGCCTGAGCTCAACATGTCTGAAATCATAGGTAACTGGAAATTAATCTCTGCAAATGGCTCTAAATTAAGAGCTAGGAGATACAGCGCAGTTGTGTTTTCAAGCACCAGATCACATCCCTGCCTCTGAACCTTATCACTGCAGAACACAACACAAACCACTTACAAATAGAAAATCTGGTCTAAACTCCATTGACATTTCTGACAAGGCCTTTCACCTTTTCATATACAATGCTACATGGTAAGAAATAAAGCAATACACATATCAACACTACAACCAAACAGCCTGGCCTTGAAACACCTGTTAGTTGCACTGAAACCTCCCACTTCCATTAAAAATCCACACATCTGGTGGTTGGGAGGGTCCTCCCCTGGGAAGTTCTCCTTTGCTCTGTATACAAAGCTTCTCAGAGATGTGATTCTAGTGCCACACTCGATTTCTTGCTTCAGGTATTACTCAGAGGATACTGGTTTAATAAACCCACATGTCAACTGCGGGGGCTGCAAAAAGCAAGCAGGACTCTCTAGGTTGCAGACTCCTTCCCAACTAAATACCTCAAACAGCCATCACCTTCTGATGCTTCCATTTAAAAAATTTAACAAATTGTATGATCCACATGGGATTGCCTGGATATCCACCCTACCCTTTCTCATTTAAAACACTGTGGGAAAAACTTGACAGAACTGTCACTGCCCAAGGTGGGCCAGCCTTGGGCTGTTAAGAAGTTTACTGGGACCAGAGTTCAAGGCCAGCTCACGGAGGTGTTACATAGCTGGGTAGGTACAGTGACCAACAGCAAAACAAATGAATTTCAACAACCTAGTCCTGTTGAACAAGGACATGGGTACCCCCTCTCTAAACATACACATACACTGGCCTCACTACATAGAGATTTAAAATCCATCCCCACGTTTGGTCTCACAGCTCATGGCTCTGGACAAGAGCTCTATGGCATCCACGCGGTTTCAGAGCCCAGCTTCTCTGTGCCTGTGCTGGCTTTTCCCTCTCCTAAGTGGGGCAGGGAGCACCAGCCACAAGACAGGGAGCTGAGAGGGATGAGGCAAAGCAGAGGACTTGCCGCCCACGAACAATGTTGCTGTGTGCACAAAAGACAGCATTTGCTCTGTCCCACCTGTTAGTCCTGCAGGTAAATAATGCACGTGCCAAAACACACACTTAATGAGGTAAATAATATGCCGTGAATAATAGCTAAATCTGTATTTACCTGCGATACCAGAGAAACTTGGAAGGACCAGATTAGGAGATAGTTGCGGCTGAGCAGGTTGTGTGCTTCGGGTAAACATGCATTTGGTAACCTTCCCTTTCCAAGGTTTTGAGTGAAAGGCAAAAATCAAAGGAGCTGAGATGTTTAAGGACTGAGTCAGCACCCACACTGCCAATTCCATGGCATAAATGCATCCTCATCTTATGGCTTTCAGGTTTTGGGGGTCTGCTTGCTCTTTAAAGCAGCATGCTAGGCAATGGGTATCCAGGAAGGTGAAAACTCATGTTACAAAACCACAACAAAGAGCCCAACACTGCATTTATCCTAAAGAGGCTCAGTTTGACCAATTGCTTTTCCATCTACAGCTTTTGCTGTCATTAATAAACACATTACAGCCAAATATAAGTTAATTATATTCACTTCTAACCTGCCCCAGATAAGAGATATTTAAGGTATACATGCTTTAAATCTTAAAGCTACCAACTATGAATCTGAAGGCCCATCACAGCAAATACAGTATCTCAAAATAAAGCAGCTTGTAAGTTGGTTGCAGTAAAACCTGCTCTTTAGCCTACTGCATAAAGTAAAATATACAGTTGGAGTGGAGGAGGCAGGCAGGCTCCAATCCCTATATCAAACACAGGCAACAAAACATACTTTATCCACCTACACACAACAAGGTCAGTCCTTCTCCGATGTATCTTAACCGGCAAGAATAAGGCATCAGACGTGAGCCCCACGAACCTTCAGGCTGGCCCACGTGCAAAGGTCCTGAAGCCACCAAGTCCACACGACAAAGGTGAACCAGTCATCTCAGCAGAATTCAGACACGTCACCACATGGACATGGCAGCACCACTCCAGACCCAGGCAGGTCTGTGTCATATGGCTACCATGGGACACCAGCAAAAAGCAGTAACAGCCAACAGCCAGTGCTGCTTGCAGTAACAACTTCTGCAGGTGATGCATGTCTGATGACATGATTAGGTTCCGCATCCTAAAAGCAGCCTCTCCCCCTCCCCATCCTCCCATGTAGCAGGGGGAGCAATGCTCTGAGCAAAGGTGCACCAGTGGGGTACTGCATGCTGATTCCCCTGCACAGGTGACACACAAATAAGACAACTCCATTGCAAACTCCACACCTTCAGCCAAATGAAGTTTTAACTGCCTGTTTACCCAGCCACTGCTCTAGGTGCCCTGGGAAGACCTCACATCATCTTCTTTGGCAAGGTCAGAGTGCCACAGAGCACAAGATCGCCAGTGAGCAATCACACTTTATTAGAAGTCATGCAAAGCATGTACAGCAGCTATGACAATGCAGAGCACCAGTCATCCCATATTTTTTTTCCAACTGACAACGTTAGCAACACATCTTCAAAAATTAGAAACGTAACTCCACACATTTAGTGATTCTGTTTCCAAACCTATATATAACAACACATATATTTCCTATGCACACAGGGTCAGATTATAATCTCAGATGGTGAAAACTATCTCATCTGGCATCCAACCCTACTGGGTTAATACTTCATATCACACAGCTCCTTACACAGACACATACAAAATGTAATGTAACCACAAATTAGGGCTGAGTTCAGGAATTATTTTGACAGATTGCACACAGACCTAGGAAAATGTGACAGCACTTTACATTTGCAACACCCAATAACCTGGGAAACGGCCACATGTGGTGGGGTTCAGATGGAAGAGAAAGTCTGCATTATATGCTATATAACAGCATGTGCCACAAGTGACATCAGCTATAATCAGCAACTGTCTGTTAAAAATAATTTAAACAAAAATTATCTCTGAGTATCAGCTGCAGGCAACAGGACAAGCTCAGGCTGACCACAGCTCTCCTTAATGGCCCAAGCACAGGACACTAAAGCACAAGTTTGATCACCAGCAAGTAAGGAAAGCCAAGAGAAAGGCAAGTGTCAGCGGGAGTGGAGAAACTGCACCAGTGGCTGTCATGCTCCAGGCTTCCCATTGGGCAGGCTGCTTAGTGACAACCATGAGAGGATGGGGAGCTCCTGCCACATGAAGGGACTTTTGTTAAAAAAAGCCAACAGGGCATTCCAAGTGCCTTCCCCCACCTGCAGGACAGCCCCAAAGCTGTGTACAGAGATGTGCACCACACAAGGTGCAGGGGGTTCAAACTCATCAACTGAGAGACCAATCAGCCTACAAACTTGAGCTTAGTGGGTTCTTTGCACGTAACATTAATAGTTCCTTTTTACAACCACATCTAATTAAAACCACCTGGCAGCAAGAGAAGACATAACTACAACAGCCTGCCTTTAACCCAAAAATATTCCCCTTCCCTGTCCAGTTTGTTAAACTGATGCAGGGAGAGGGCAAGAAGACAAAACACCTAAACTCAGGTTGGAGGAGCAACCCAAGAAATCTGTTTTACAAGAGCCTCCATTTAAACATTAAATTACTTCATTACGGCAATAAAGACCTCCACCATACTAAAAAACAACAAAAATTAAAAACCCAGCACTAAGCTAAAGGACAAGACCAGCTAAAATTAAAACGTAAAAGCAAGGGAGCCTTGGGAGTTGCATGCTTCAGTTTGCTCCCTGTACAAAGGCTGGGTAGGGGCAGCTTGTGACGCCCAGCCTCCAACAGAGCTCAAGGCTAAAGCAATCAAAAGCAATGCAAAATGTAAGTCAGGTTTGTCTTAATTTATTAAAGTATAGTGTCTTATTTTATTAAAGTATAAAGAGTAAAAAGAAAGGATAATAAAGATGCTTTTTGCAGAACAAAATGGCATACATTTAGCAACACCTGGAACAGTCTCTAACAAAAAATGCAGGACTTCCATTTTGGTAGCTGTTCAAATGCATACTCAGAGGTCAAATGTGAGCCCATATTTCAGTTGTGTGAAGACGTAACTGAAGAACAATAGAGATAACTCCATTTTTTTTTTTTTAAATCAACCTTAACCTAAACCAAAATATTTCACCAGACAGACTACAGTCCAAAAGACAGCACCTGGCTAGCCTGCAAGGCAGGAAATGAGAGACTAAGAACCAAACCAGCTTATCCACTGTCACCGTGCAAACTTGAAAAAAAATAATACATAAGATAAAACAAACAACAAAATACAAAGCTTTTAGAACCATTTTAATAATGTAACATGATTTTAGATAAATTCACTTCTTTAATTTGTTAACCTCACAGTATCATCCCTTGAACAAGAATCCAGTCCACTTCCATGGTTGCACTCCTTTCACTTTTGGCTGGGTTTATCTCCACAGCACTGCTAGACAAGCAAGCCCATGTTTTGGAAAATCTGTAACATAAGTTTCCCTGAGCATTGCCATAGGATGCTTATATACTGTCCCATCATTACTCAGCCCGGACACAACTTGGCATTAATCACTTTGTTTTTACAGCACTCTGCAGTTGCAGCCAGCCTCTTCCCACCACAGACGAAAAGGTCCCTGTTCTCAAGAACTTACAGTCTAAAATGAGATGCAACATAACAAGTGGGGGTAACAGCACAGAAGAATGAAGGTTACCAGACCAGTCAGGCAACTGCTCATGTGGGATATATGTACATTTTGGTAGGTCAATTAAAGAAAATAATTCACTCT